TTTATTGCGTGACATAAGTATTTGATACATCAGAAAAGCAGAACTTAATATTTGGTACAGAAACCTTTTTTTGCAATTACAGAGATCATACGTTTCCTGTAGGTCTTGACCAGGTTTGCACACACTGCAGCAGGGATTTTGGCCCACTCCTCCATACAGACCTTCTCAAGATCCTTCAGGTTTCGGGGCTGTCGCTGGGCAATACGGAATTTCAGCTCCCTCCAAAGATTTTCTATTGGGTTCAGGTCTGGAGACTGGCTAGGCCACTCCAGGACCTTGAGATGCTTCTTACGGAGAAAATCCTTAGTTGCCCTGGCTTTGTGTTTCCGGTCGTTGTCATGCTGGAAGACCCAGCCACGACCCATCTTCAATGCTCTTACTGAGGGAAGGAGGTTGTTGGCCAAGATCTCGCGATACATGGCCCCATCCATCCTCCCCTCAATAAGGTGCAGTCGTCCTGTCCCTTTTGCAGAAAAGCATCCCCAAAAAATGATGTTTCCACCTCCATGCTTCACGGTTGGGATGGTGTTCTTGGGGTTGTACTCGTCCTTCTTCTTCCTCCAAACACGGCGAGTGGAGTTTAGACCAAAAAGCTATATTTTTGTCTCATCAGACCACATGACCTTCTCCCATTCCTCCTCTGGATCATCCAGATGGTCATTGGCAAACTTCAGACGGGCCTGGACATGCGCTGGCTTGAGCAGGGGGACCTTGCGTGCGCTGCAGGATTTTAATCCATGACGGTGTAGTGTGTTACTAATGGTTTTCTTTGAGACTGTGGTCCCAACTCTCTTCAGGTCATTGACCAGGTCCTGCCGTGTAGTTCTGGGCTGATCCCTCACCTTCCTCATGATCATTGATGCCCCACGAGGTGAGATCTTGCATGGAGCACCAGACCGAGGGTGATTTACCGTCATCTTAAACTTCTTCCATTTTCTAATAGTTGCGCCAACAGTTGTTGCCTTCTCACCAAGCTGCTTGCCTATTGTCCTGTAGCCCATCCCAGCCTTGTGCAGGTCTACAATTTTATCCCTGATGTCCTTACACAGCTCGCTGGTCTTGGCCATTGTGGAGAGGTTGGAGTCTGTTTGATTGAGTGTGTGGACAGGTCTCTTTTATACAGGTAACGAGTTCAAACAGGTGCAGTTAATACAGGTAATGAGTGGAGAACAGGAGGGCTTTCTAAAGAAAAACTAACAGGTCTGTGAGAGCCGGAATTCTTACTGGTTGGTAGGTGATCAAATACTTATGTCATGCAATAAAATGCTAATTAATTACTTAAAAATCATAAATTGTGATTTTCTGGATTTTTGTTTTAGATTCCATCTCTCACAGTTGAAGTGTACCTATGATAAAAATTACAGACCTCTACATGCTTTGTAAGTAGGAAAACCTGCAAAATCGGCAGTGTATCAAATACTTGTTCTCCCCACTGTACATGCCCGTCTGAAGTTTGCCAATGAACATCTGAATGATTCAGAGGAGAACTGGGTGAAAGTGTTGTGGTCAGATGAGACCAAAATCGAGCTCTTTGGCTTCAACTCAACTCGCCGTGTTTAGAGGAGGAGGAATGCTGCCTATGACCCCAAGAACACCATCCCCACCGTCAAACATGGAGGTGGAAACATTATGCTTTGGGGGTGTTTTTCTGCTAAGGGGACAGTACAACTTCACCCCGCATCAAAGGGACGATGGCGGGGCCATGTACCATCAAATCTTGGGTGAGAACCTCCTTCCCTCAGCCAGGGCATTGAAAATGGGTCGTGGATGGGTATTCCAGCATTACAATGACCCAAAACACACGGCCAAGGCAACAAAGGAGTGGCTCAAGAAGAAGCACATTAAGGTCCTGGAGTGGCCTAGCCAGTCTCCAGACCTTAATCCCATAGAAAATCTGTGGAGGGAGCTGAAGTTTCGAGTTGCCAAACGTCAGCCTTGAAACCTTAATGACTTGAAGAAGATCTGCAAAGAGGAGTGGGACAAAATCCCTCCTGAGATGTGTGCAAACCTGGTGGCCAACTACAAGAAACGTCTGACCTCTGTGATTGCCAACAAGGGTTTTGCCACCAAGTACTAAGTCATGTTTTGCAGAGGGGTCAAATACTTATTTCCCTCATTAAAATCCAAATCAGTTTATAACATTTTTGACATTTGTTTTTCTGGATTTTTGTTGTTGTTATTCTGTCTCTCACTGTTCCAATAAACCTACCATTAAAATTATAGACTGATCATTTCTTTGTCAGTAGGCAAACGTACAAAATCAGCAGGGGATCAAATACTTTTTTCCCTCACTGTATATATTTGTGAGAAAAAAAAACATATGGGGGATTGGAAGTGATGCAGACAATAACAATGATGGAAGTTACAATCTATCTGCAATATTAAAGCTGGTCTACCCTCTAAAATAAAATAAAAAAATAATAAAAACATTTAAAAAAAATAAACAATACCTCACAAGGGACAAACAGAATAAACTGAACTAAATAAGGAGCTAATGAGACCAGGTGAGTAACTTACACAGGTGAAATCAATGAACAAAAATGAAAGACAGTGCTACGTTCAAGAACACAAAGAAACAAGAACACAAGGTTGACTAAGAAAATAAATACAGAACCTTACATGTGGTCCATAAGTGAATGTCTACCTGCTGTGTGAACCGGAGTGTGTAAGTGTGTGAGTATGTACCTAAGTGTGTGCCTGCTACTCACAGGGTCCCTCACCAGTGGTGGTTTCCAGGTCTGAAAGGTTTGGTTCTGCTGTGTTCTCTGGGCATGGTTCTTTAAATGGTTTAAAAATAGCCCACTCAAAACATCTTCCATCAGCCCCCACACTGAGCAAACACAGTGATTAGTTATGTGTGGGGGTGTGTGTGTTAACTACTTACCAAATCTCTCCTCTCTCCGCAAGACAAGTTGACAAAATGCTTAATGTTCTCATTTTAGAAGCTATTACCAACCTGACAGTATGTTACATTTTACATTTTAGTCATTTCGCAGACGCTCCTATCCAGAGCGACTTACAGCCAGTGAGCGCACACATTTTTCATACTGATGCGCGACAAATGCCAATATCGGTCAAATGACCCGATTGAGACCTGTGCCACAAATGCCAAAACGCTACCATGTGACAACAGTGCAAGGGAAACCAAACCAAAGCATGTTGTCATACCTTGTCCATAGACTGGCCCACAGGGCAAGGAAACCAATGTCATTGCAATTTGGGTGAACTAACTGGCCAAGAAATACACCCATGCTATTGTAAAGCTTATGGGAGGGTCATAAAAGATGACTCCTAAAAGATGTTGAGCAGATCGTGGTCCTGGGGAAGAATAGCAATACACACACACACAGAGATCCGCTCAACTGAGTCTCCTACACAGACACCGTCACTAACAGCAGACTCTTGAGACCGTAACAACTGGCTCTGCTCGATAACACATTTTCACCCTTCATACAATATAGAAATGTGTTTAGATATATTTATATTCAGACAGATGTATCCCGTTCTCAGTTTATGGTCGATTCATTTAGTTTGTTCCTAAAACCGACAATTTTGGTCACACAGAAGGAATCTCTGCAGCACTTAGACAGAAAACGACAGGAACCACAGATAAAAAAATCTTCATTATTATATCTGCGTCAATAGAGGAATCATAACACTAACAGCTATTGGAAATAGTAGAGGACTTGAGTGCAGGAAAAGACAGCGAGAGAGCGCGATGGAATGGGGGCCAGAGAGCTTTAGAGCAGCACAACAAAGCACTAAATACAAAAACACGACGATTCATGACTAATATACTCAGGGAAGGCGGGGTGTTATCAAATCAAAACGTATAAAATGGCATGACACTTAATGGATGCATCTACACTGCATACTGCTGCAAACTACTCACTAGGCTAAAGAGTAACTCCGCCGGTTGGATATACAGATACAGGGGCAGGGCTGGGGAGAGAGAGGTGGGACAGGAGACGTGTTAGTTGGATATACAGATACAGGGGCAGGGCTGGGGAGAGAGAGGTGGGACAGGAGACGTGTTAGTTGGATATACAGATGCAGGGGCAGGGCTGGGGAGAGAGAGGTGGGACAGGAGACGTGTTAGCTGGATATACAGATACAGGGGCAGGGCTGGGGAGAGAGAGGTGGGACAGGAGACGTGTTAGTTGGATATACAGATACAGGGGCAGGGCTGGGGAGAGAGAGGTGGGACAGGAGACGTGTTAGTTGGATATACAGATACAGGGGCAGGGCTGGGGAGAGAGAGGTGGGACAGGAGACGTGTTAGTTGCAACAGGAGAACAGAAGAGCAACACACACACTACTACGCCAGCATCAAGAGAGGGAGGGTAGCAGTTACCCCTAAGCCAATGACACATGGTCAGATACTTTTTATATCCTCCTAATACATTAGGATTGAGGGTATGGTGCGTAATCTGATCCTAGATCTGTGGTTATGGGCAAGGGGGACAGTCGTCCAACTAATTCAGTGCCATGAGGAATAGATGGGGTTGAGGAATAGTAGACTATTATGGTAATCTAACTTGTGGCTTTAATTTGACCAGAGCCCTATGTGGCTCTGCTCAGTAGGACTACATGAAGAAACTACATGTCATGGGGGTGGAATGTAGTTTTTGTTTAGATTAAAAGAGGGAAAAGACCCTTTAGATGCAGATGGTCTTTTTTGTACTAACTGCTACCCTCCCTCTCTTGATGCTGGCGTAGTAGTGTGTGTGTTGCTCTTCTGTTCTCCTGTTGCAACTAACACGTCTCCTGTCCCACCTCTCTCTCCCCAGCCCTGCCCCTACATAATTTCATAATTTTCAATACTTTTGAAAGCAGGACGTTTGTTGTTTTGTTTTTATTTGTCAGCCCATTGGAAAAAAAGACTGAAAAAACAGAAGTGATGGGAAGGTAGCGATCCCATGTTGTTGTCTTTCGCTCCCTCCCTTGTTCCAGCCTCCTTCCTGTTGTGCCCCTCTTTTCACCAGATCGCGAGGGGGCAGTTAGCAGCATGTCTCGTAGATGCCGATGTACCGCACCCATTTGATGACATCGTGGTCACTGTAGTTCAGCTTTGGCTCGAACACCTTCAGGTAGCGCACCTTGAGCCTGGACGGAGCAAATAGCACCTCAAAGTTCATGGAGATGGGAGGGCGCGCCCACTTCTTCTTGTCATTGGTGGGCAGCAGCTCAATCTCGGCACTGATCTGAGACTCCTTCATCCCTGCCATACGCTTGATCTTCCAGACAATGGCGTTTTCGCTGGCCTTGTACTTGGCCTTGCCCTTCATGCAGATCACCCAGGACCCCACTGGTGTTGAGAGGGGTGGGGATGCGCACCTCAATCTTCTGAGCCAGAAGCGAGGGCTTGAAGTTGGACTTAATGACCACCTTGACCTCAAGCTAGGTGCGGCCCACCTCCCTGACAAGGGGGATGACACGGAAGGGTAGGATGATGTCCTTGGTGGAGCGGTACCTCATGAGCTCACACTCTCCGTCCGGAGGAATGAAGCTGATGCTGCGCTCAGCGTCAAACTTGCTGAGACGCACACACTGGTGGAATGTACAGTCGTCAATGGCTACGGATTGCTTACCGCCACCACCGCCACTCTTGCCTGCCGCCTCATCGGCGCCCCCCTTGCCGATCTTGTCGTTCATGCCAAATTTGCACTCTGGCATGCCGCTCAGGTAGCTCTTCATAACCACGCGGCCCGAGACGTGGGCGCTCATTACCTGACCTTGTGGAGACATCAGCAGGTTGACATTTACATTTTAGTCATTTAGCAGACGCTCTTATCCAGAGCGACTTACAGTTAGTGAATACATATTTTATATATTTAAACTGGCCCCCCGTGGGAATCGAACCCACAACCCTGGCGTTGCAAACGCCATGCCCTATCAACTGAGCTACATCCCTGCCGGCCATTCCCTCCCCTACCCTGGACGACGCAGGGCCAATTGTGCGCCGCCCATGAGTCTCCCGGTCGCGGCCGGCTGCGACAGAGCCTGGATTCGAACCAGGATCTCTAGTGGCACAGTTAGCACTGCGATGCAGTGCCTTAGACCACTGCGCCACTCAGGAGTTGACACTCTCCAGCACGTCCAGGAAAAGATCGTGGCGACGGTACTTGATGCCCACGCAACGCCAGCCGACCTGCCCAGTCACCTGACTGGTGATCTGAGACTGCTCCTCCTTGGACTGGCTCTTGATGCCCGTTTGAGTGATGAAGGTCTTCAGTGCCTCAGTCTCCGAGTTCTGGTGGTAGCCAAAGTCCAGGATCTCGTCCAGCAGCTCGTAGATCAGCACAAAGTTGTTCTTGATGTTCTCCTCGCTGATCTTGCCGAAGTAGGCTGTCATGACGTCGCACATCTTGCAGAGGAACTCGAACACCATAGCGGCGTTGACATTCTGCTTGGTGACTGCCGCCAGCCAGATGTTGGAGCGTTTGACGTGGAAGAAGCAGGTGCGGGCGATGTTGGTGACCGGCGAGCGTACCTGCTGCCGCGCATGGATCACGTTCACGCGGAACACATCCACCGCATTGCGCCCTATGTCATCGCGGTAGACGCGGGAGATCAGCACCTCCCCCTTGTGGTTGTAGATGAACAATCCTCCAATCATGATGGCAGCCTCTCAGTCATAACAGGCCATGAGGAGTGATTTCTTACTCCAATTCAAGATGTCGACCGCTCCTCGCTTCAAAGCGCCATGTTATAAAGGCTAATCAGCTTTGGAGGTCTACAGTCAGAGCTTTCAAACACATACAAAGTGATTTAAAGTATCAAAGAAGCATAGGATATTATATTCAATTAAAAGCTGGTCCCTTTGTTAGACTAAGCTATTAAAAGGCAGAACAAAAATACCAACATTTCAGTCCTGTCATCTATAATTGTTCACTAAAAAAGACTGGTGATATTCTTCTCATCCCACCATCGTCTCTCTGGTCTGTGCACTAACTCCCACACACCTAAATCCCTGGACCCTATCCAACTTTTCTCACGAGTAAGGAATGGAGTACGGTTGGTGTGTAGACATGGCTCTACCTTGCTATGTTTCTTTCTTTATTTTATTTAACCTTTATTTACCATAATAAATAAGATAAGTCCATTGAGAACCAGTACTCATTTAAATAACATTGCAACAGTGAACAGGACAACCCACAATACCACTAAAAATAAATAAAACGCTGTACAGAGGAAAGGTACAAATTCATCAAATAAACAACAATAAGAAATGTAAAGTGGGTTAGAGCAGAAACGTCCAAGGCAACACAGCAGACTTAATGATCAGCAGGTACATTGATCAGACAGCAGCTCAGTCAATATGTTTTTGAAAGAGATGAATGTATCAAGTTTGAGGTTCTTTTACAGCTCGTTCCTGTCGTTGGTGGAGGAAAACTGGAATGAATGACGGCCAAAGGAAGTGCAGGCTTTGGGAATGACCAGTGTGATACATCTACCAGAGCGCAGGTTGCTATTGGTAGTGGAGATATTGAAGAGTGAGCTGAGGTAGAGGGGAGAGTGAGCTGAGGGACATGTAAATAAATTGGTACCAGTGGGTCTGACGTTGTGTATGTTACGAGGGCCAGTTGACCAGGGTGTAAAGGTCACAATGTGACAAAGTTGCAGAGGGCACTGGTAACAAAGTGGATAGCAGTGTGATAAATGACGTCTAGTTTATTGAGGGAGGCAAGCCTGTAAACTATATCGCCATAGTCCAGTATTGTCAGGATTGTCATTTTTATGTCTATATGTCTATGTCTTTGGCTGTAAGACACCCCTCTGCACCCTGTAATCACCATACAATGGTATAAGTAGAGCCAAATCTATGGCCAAAATCTGAATAGGTTGAGCAGAAGATAGAGGCTAGTTAGATGCCAGGTGTACTGTAGGTTGTGATGTTGTGTTGTCACCCTCTGGATCCTCAAGGACAGGTGGCCATAGGGTGGCTGTCTAACTGTTGGTTGCAGTTGGATCTTTCTCCCGGTTGCCATGGTGAGCTCTGAGCAGAATGAAGATGAAAAGCGTTAGGGGAACAGTAATCAGATTGTCTCCGGCAGTCTGCCTCTGGATTGATCTTCTCCTGCTAGCCTAGAACACACACACACGCACCCCCAAACTCAGCGTCACATAAATCACCATCCAGCCCCAGTCACATCTAATTCCACCAGAGCCAGTGAGAGGCTGCCACCACTCTGCTCGTGGCCCAGATTCAGGCACTTCGACTGGGACACACTCAGTAGGCCTCCCCCTCCACCAGCCACCCACCATTTCTTATTTACACTTGATATTGTTTGTTACATCCAGAGCCTCCAAATGAGAAAGGATTTGGGACTAAAAGCGTAATGAATTTTGTGTCTACGGATATTCTTGTTGGATCCTGAGAGAAAAAGAAAAGACACAAGGGGGAGAGGAGAGAGATAGCGAGAGAGAGAGAGAGAGAGAGAGAGAGAAGATGAGAGAGGAGAGAGAGAGAGAAGAGAGCAGAGAGAGAAGAGAGAGAGTCGAGAGAGAGAAGATCTCTCAAGAAGAGAGAGAGAGACGAGATCTCTCTAGCCTCTCTCGTAGATATCTACTATAAATCTCTCTGCTCTCTCTCTATCTCTGCTCTCTCTCTCTCTCTCTCTCTCTCTCTCTCTCTCTATCTCTCTCTCTCTATCTCTCCCTCTCCTCTCTGTTGTTGTTTGTCACCTTCGCCGTAGGCAGTTAAGAGCAGCTTAGCAAATGGTTTATAATTACGCTGTGGTCACGGGTTGTTAGCTGACTCCGTCTGCATCCTGCATTGTGCTCCAACCTCCTGTGGTTTTACCTATTAAACCCTCTCTCCCTCTCTCTGTCTCTATCTCTCTCTCTCAAATTCAAATTGCTTTATTGGCATGAAATACAATTTGTAGATATTGCCAAAGCAGTATAGTGGTACAGCATTTCAGTAAATACAGTTCAATGCAATGAGGATAATGAAAGAAAGTAATTTCAGTAGTAATAATAATAGTACATATAATCATGTATACAGGTACAACACTGCTGCTGTTGTATTGTGTAATTTATGGTCAATAAATGTAATTAAATAAAAATAAGAATATAATGGCAGTTGTATCTCACTGCGTTGTACCACTCCATTTTAGGAGTGTGTTGGGGGACTTAATAAACTGTTGGGTGACTACAGTAACTCTCTCTCTCCCCACACACCCGAGCACGCACGCACACACATACACACATAACACACACACAGACAGACAGAGGTCACTCAGACGTACCCAGCAAATGAGTCTCCCAGCTCCCAGATGTGCCATTCCATATGTCTTTTTCTCTCCGGTACTTTAGTGACACCGACCACAAGTGGAAAGAGGACATCTGGTGGCCTTCTGGCTGTGATAGTGGAGGGTGAAGGTATATGTGGGACCACTGGTAATGTAAAGTTAACAGCTGTACAGAAAGACTCTTGTGAAGTCCAAATTATAGAGGAGGAACTTCTTGACGCAATTAAAGCCTTTAAGTCCGGGAAAACTTCAGGGCTGGATGGCATGCTAGTTGAGGTATACCAAACCTTTTATTCTGTACTCAGAGGACTGTTATTATCATGTTTTAACCACTCCTATATAAATGGTAGATTATCAGATACTCAACAAGAAGGTCTGATTTCATTATTACTGAAACAGGACCAAAGTGGTAAATATAAAGATCCAGTCCATTTAAAAAATTGGAGGCCCCTTACAGTGTTGTGATGCAAAAAATTATAGCAAAATGCATAGAATTAAAAAGGTATTGTCGGATGTTATTCATCCTAAATAGACAGTTTTTTTTACATGGAAGATACATTGGAGATAATATAAGACAAGTATTGGAAACATTAGAACACGATGAAAAAATAGCTGACTTTGAAAAGGCTTCTGATAAAGTACATTTTAGTCATTTAGCAGACACTCTTATCCAGAGCGAGTTACAGTTAGTGAGTGCATACATTATTTTCATACTGGCCCCCCGTGGGAATTGAACCCACAACCCTGGCGTTGCAAATGCCATGCTCCACCAACTGAGCTGCATCCCTGCCGGCCATTCCCTCCCCTACCCTAGACCAATTGTGCGCCGCCCCATGGGTCTCCCGGTCATGGCCGGCTACAACAGAGCCTGGATTCGAACCAGGATCTCTAGTGGCATAGCTAGCACTGTGACGCATTGCCTTAGACCACTGCGCCACTCGGGAGGTACGACTGGAATTTATAAATAAATGACTGGAATATTTCAATTTTGGAGAATCTCTTATACAATGGGTTAAAGTTGTGTATAGTAACCCTAGGTGTAAAATAGTAAATAATGGCTACTTCTCAGAAAGTGTTAAACTGTCAAGAGGAGTAAAACAAGGTTGTCCACTATCGGCATATGTATTTATTATGGCCATCGAAATGTTAGCTATTAAAATCAACAATAATATCAAGGGCCTAGAAATCTAGGGCTTAAAAACAAAGGTGTCTTTGTACACTGATGATTCATGTTTCCTTTTAAATCCACAATTTGTATCCTTCCACAGCCTCATAGAGGATCAAGATAATTGTTCTAACCTCTCTGGAGTACAACCAAATTATGATGTGTACTATATTACGTTTTGGATCACAAAAAAATACAGCTTTTACATTACCGTGTAGTTTACCAATAAAATGGTCTGACGGTGAAGTGGACATACTCGGTATTCATATCCTGAAAGAAAGAAATGATCTCACTACAATACATTTTAATAGAAAGTTAGCAAAAATAGATCTTGCTACCATGGAAAGGTAAATACCTGTCTATTTGTGGAAAAATCACCCTGATTAACTCTTTAGTCATATCCCAGTTTACCTATTTGCTTATGGCCTACACCAAGCGAGTAGTTTTTTAAATTATATGAGCAGAAAATATTCAATTTCATTTGGAACGGCAAGTCAGACAAAATTAAATGGGCCTGTTTCTATAATGAATATGAATTCGGAGGGCAGAAATTATTAAATATTAAAGCATTAGACCTCTCACTAAAGGCTTCAGTCATACAAAAGTTATACTTAAATCCGAACTGGTTCTCTAGCAGATTAGTAAGAATGTCTCCCCCCACGTTTCCCTTTATTAAGATTACAACCTCTCACTTTTGGTTATTTGAAAACTAAATATTCTCCCAAATATAGCTATTTTTAAAACAAGCCATAGAAAGTTGGTTGCAATTTCTGTTTAATCCACCAGAAAAGACTGAACAAATATTACAACAAATAAAATATACTAATTGATTTAAAAAAGTATATTTAAAAAAAACAACCACAGTGTAATCTTTGTAAATGATATCATAAATAGGACTGTGGAGGTACAGTGGGGAGAACAAGTATTTGATACACTGCCGATTTTGCAGGTTTTCCTACTTACAAAGCATGTAGAGGTCTGTAATTTTTATCATAGGTACACTTCAACTGTGAGAGACGGAATCTAAAACAAAAATCCAGAAAATCACATTGTCTGATTTTTAAGTAATAATTTGCATTTTATTGCATGACATACAGTGGGGAGAACAAGTATTTGATACACTGCCGATGTTGCATGTTTTCCTACTTACAAAGCATGTAGAGGTTTGTCATTTTTATCATAGGTACACTTCAACTG